ATATATATATATATACATACACGGCAGTAACAAAGCGAAAAAAAAAAAAAAACCAGTGGCGAAAAGAGAATTTTACAGTGGAGAAAGGAAATCAAAAGTGAAAGTTGAGTACCTTCGGCAGGATAAACGATCATCGAGCACTATTTGCGGCAAGTGTGTCAAATGTTTCGCTCACACATCAAACCTACACAGCCAGTAGTGCATATCTGTTATTTCTCTGTCATAGTTTATAGACGTCCTATATAAAACTATGAGGACGTGTAGCTCGTGCCGCGGGCTCGTATATCTTTCAGTTCATTTCCTGACACGTCCTACACGACGAAGGAAGTAACGTTTGTTACGTGACACCGACGAGTTTGCAATCCTCCCCTTTTAATTTCCCCGCTATTTTTTCTAATTGCGCACCCCGCGAGGAACCGGTAATCCGATAGTCGACTTTTCGAATTTTGTCGGCCGCGTGTGTGACGTTGTTTTTCTTTCTTTCTTTTTTTTTTTTTTTTTTTTTTTCCTTTTAGATTCCAGTCGTGCCTTTTCTTTCAAACTCATTCACTGTATCGCGGTTTGAATTGCACGATTGGTAAGATGGAAAATTCATCAACATTTGGATGGAAATTTAATAAAATCTAAAAGCAAAGTTACTTGAATAAATGAATTTAATTTTCGATCGACTAATTAAGTTATTAATCGAAGTGCAGCAGGGAGTAGAATTTATTAATTCTTTTCTAGCTTTTGGACAGGATAAAACCTACTAGAAATTTTATCTGGACATTAAATTTTATAAATTGAGAATAAAATTATTCATCGAAATTATTAATTAAATTAAATGTCGAAGGATAGAATTTATTAATTTCTAGTTTTTTTACAGTGGCGTAAAATTTGATAAAAATCTACATTTACGACAGCAAAATTTTATGAAGTTTGTATAATAATAAATTTTACAGCAGTAAATGAAATTTATTAATCGTTAACTTTACAATAGAATAAAATTATACTACAAAATTTAATAGAATTTCTATTTAATATAAAACTATATTAGATATTATATTGAATAAACTATATTAAACTGCAGATCTTAAATTTTATAAAAATAGAATCTTCATATAAAAGAACGTAAAAAAATAATATAATAAACACTATACTTCGTAAAAACTTGGTTTATTATAAACTTTACAGCTTTATAAAATGGAATAAAATTTATTGATGTTTATCTTAACAATATGTAGTTCATCAAATCATTCACAATTTGCTATACATTTAAATATATATTATTTACCATCACTAACTATTTATAATAAAATAATAAATCACAAAAAAGCTATTAATAATTATTAACTATTAATTAAAATTTTTTAATAATTATAACTAATAAATGTAACATTCTTAATCAGTTGTTACTCGCGCATTTATTTCATTTCGTAATGTAAATGAGCTAATTCGACGACAAAACGACTCTTCTCTTCTTTGCTCATTTTATTATTTTCAATACATGAAACATATGTTTCGTACTAATGAA